GCAGAGTGGGCCAGACATCGCACTTTCGGGCCTGCGGCCCGGGAACTGTGCTTCACAATAAGAAGACTCCTGGTAGAGACATGTCAGATCTCCAAGCAGCCGCAAAAGCTCACGTGGCTGAGGCGGCATCATTGAAGGAACTCAGAGCGCACATCGACAGCGGCGTGAGTGCTAGATTCTCGGCCCTGCACCGCAAGAGACGTCAGGCGGTGAGTCAGACCGGTCGGTGGTCAAGACAACATCAGTGAACACTGAATGCAGCCGCGTTTCTGGCATTCGGTTGCCTGAAGAGCTGTTAGCAGCACCACTTCATGCTTCAGGCAAAGAGCTTTCGAGCTGCAACTCTTAAGTGGATGGCAATCTCAGAAATCAACGTCGCTGTCAAAACATCCGTCAACAGAGCATTCGTGGTGAAGTTGCAGTCCTGAGATCTCGGGCCAGTGTGGGACATGGCAACCGTTCGGCTCATTGGTCTAAGCATCTGCATTCGAGAGCGTGTCGACGAATGCAAAGCACATGACCTCGGGTTTGTGGTGTTTATCATTGAATTCTGGGTCACGGTGGTATACGACTGGCTCCTGCAGGAGCTGGGCTCCCCACTTTTCTACAGTAGGGCCTGAATTGGGGTCACTGAGAAAGGATACTCTCGACGTGATTTTCGGGATGTAGCAGGTCTGCTAGGGAGGGCACGCGATCGTGAAACTGGCCGGGTCAGCCAGATTGGCCAACAAGTAGTTCTTGGCACCAAACCTCAAATCGCACAGAGGCCGAAAAGGAAGTCAGGTCTTTGGCAATCCTAGCCTAAGGACTCGGGTGGCAACCATGCCAGTGTTGATCCAGTGTTTTCGAAGAGCGACTCACAGTTGATGTCATTCGCAAACTCGCCTCGGTCACTGACCCACGGATTATCTGGGATTGGAGACCAATTCCATACCCCGCGGTGAAGGTAAACGAGGGCAGTGCTATACTCAATCGGATTGAGTGCAGCAGATGCCTTTGCTCGGACGCTTTCAACGTGTTGCAACGAGAGAAGCCGGAAACAACTGCCGCACTGAGCTTTGCAGGCAAAGTGGCCGCCATGTTGCCTGCATTGACACACGGAGAGACATAACGCTGCAAGGGGCGAGCTTTTGGGGCTCTCAACACACACCGAAGTTCACTTGCGGAGCTTCGGCCTTGATAGCACTGGTCCTTCTTGGACAGGTGCCGCTCAAAGACAGCCGATCTCAAACCTGCTCCAAGGATATCGGCCGGCCCCGGGGATTGCCAAGGTGTCAAGCCAATGTGTATCTGTGCGCGTGGTGCTCTTTTTGTATGCAAAAAGAGGCCTGTCGACATGGCACCACAGAGCGATCGGAAGGATGTCGCCTGCAAGGGGTCCCGCTGAGTCCCGCTCTTGTCGTTTGCATCCAGCACGCTTTGTGCACACCACTGCGCACACCACAGCGCCACGGCCTGTGCCATGGTGACGAGCATGTCGTCACAGCTGCACTCCGTGGCCTGGGCCGGCTCTGTCCGGAGTCCGAAACGGAGAGTCACGTGCAACGTCGCACGCACAACAGAGCAGAGCAGAGCTGTTCGCACGGCCGAGACCGCAGCGAACCAAGGTTCTTTGACGCTTGGGGCATCATTGGTGCAAATGCCGGGACCTGGCGAGATGTGCTTCTGTGTGATAGGGCTTACTGGCCTACCTAATGTCAGACCGACGAGCAATGTGCATCAGTTCCGCCTGTCAGATGTGTACCGAGACTTCTCATCGTGGCCTCTCAACGACAAGCAGCGTCAGATCTTCATGACTGGCGGCTTCAGCTGGGTTGTCTGCCCGCACCAAGACTCTGCAACTCCAAGAGACCTTCAGAGAGAGAAACGTGCATTGTGGGGAACCCCCGGCTCACAAGAGACCTATCTTCTTCATCCAAGTCTCGCAGGCTTGGCCAACTTGTGGCCTTGAGGGGTTCGCCCTGCAGACAATCTCCGTTTCTTGGGGAGCCAACTAGCACATGGAGGCGTCCTCCTATCTTCGATGCTCGTCAACATGGAAGCCTCACTTGCAGAAGCACATGCGACGCCCATGCCAAGATCTTAAAGCCTTGCTCGGACTCGGCTCCAATGAGCTACTGGTAGAATGCGTTGTGGACTAGCGACTAGCCTTCTTTCAATCCGGTCATCCTGCCAAAATCGATTCGAGGCCAGCACTGGCGAGTCGGCTGTCAGAACAAGGGAGTTGCAGGTCGAATCCAGAGCCGCCTGGTCGATCGGACAGGCTCGGCAGTCCCCGCAGTTTTCGGGGCATGCTCATGTGTCGCAGACTTCACGGTGACACCCTCCATCGCTAAACCCTAAACCCTAAACCCTAAGTTTAGTTTTTAGGGTTTATTTTAGGGTTTAGGGTTTAGGGCCCCTCCCCTCCCTCTCTCACTCTCACCCTCACTCGAACTCTCACTCTGACTTCTTCTTCGTCCACGCAGCCCAGGGGTACAAGCCTACCCCCTCCGAGCAAGAGCGCGCCCTGGTCTTGAAGGTCTGCTTGGCCCCCTCTCTCTCTCACACTCTCGCACGTGCGAACAGAAAGAGAGATACTTTCTATCAGAAGAAGGATTATGCTTGCAATTCAAGCACTCACGCCAAGAACATGCCGACGTCCCAAAGGCCTTTGCACCCTCCCTCTTACTTCAAGTGCTGCCTCTTGGAAGTCCCCGTAGAAGGCGCCGTTTGGCGTCTCGCAAAGATTCGAGGGGCAAGGCGAATGAAAGACACAGGGCTGCGAAACTTGCTCAGACGTCAACCGCTGCGTCCAACTGCCAGGTGAGGTTGAAGGCCTGTAGCTGCTCAAGTTGCACCGAGAGATTCTGCGAATCAAGTGTCCTGGATCCAAGACCGAAGGACCGAAGGCCAGATACCCCAACCCCTTCAGGCAAGACGCATGTCTCCAGCAGTCCGATTTGTCACCTCTGTTGTAGATGACATGTCCACCGAACTCCGACGTGATATCTCAGGTCATTGCACAACATCAGCGTGTCCGAGCAGTTCCCGCATCCGACCTGAATGCAAATGGCCAAGACTTAACAATGAATCATTGGTGGGAAAGAAACTCAGAGCGTCGCGGTCCATCCATTGGAGATGTTTACCTCTACTCTAAGTGGTGCAAGCCGGCGGGTTCTCTCTGAGCTCAGCACCCGTATGCCTCGCCCGGAATGGCGCACAAGAACTCGTCGATGGGGGTGTAGGATATGAAGGCCCACCTGGTGGAAGGGGATGGAGGCAAGGGTGGCAGAGGTCAAGCGAGCTAAGCGTCGCGCGCTCCATACATGGTTGTGATGCATCCTATCCAGAAGAAGTAAGACCTTCAAGACTCAACTAGTGGCCCAATCTTCAGTGAGCTGCCGCCAATCACTGATGCAACGCAGAGCTCTCATGGCTCCATAGGTGCCGGACACCAAGCTGGGCGTCAGCCCTGCTCTGACTGCCCTCCCCGTAATTCGGAGGATCCTGCAGTGTTCCACGAGCCACTGGCAATGAAGCTTCACGGCTCTTGGGGCTGAGTCCTCTGAGGGAAGCCTGCCATGCTCACGCCACGGCTGCGCAGATGCTCAAGAGCTGCAGGTTCATGGCCATGGATGAGCCTACGTCTTACGTTGTAGGCCACGATGAAGAACTTTGGCCTTCTGTGCTTCGCGGACATGTATTGGTGTCGTGTTGCCTACCACCACGGCGTTACGGTTTCACCGCTTTTTCATGCCACCTATTTTTAGATGTGGCCTGTCTTGCTCCGGCTCCAGCGGCATGACTTGTGTCTCATGAGCTCATGAAAGGCAGCATCTTCAAGGAGGAGTCAAAAAGCTGTGCTGGCTTGGAACACATGCATCACAAAGCAAATACAACCCTAGTGCCTCTGCGATTGCATCCAAGCCTAGAGCTCAGAATTTCGTTCGCGACGCTCCGACATGTGCTTAAAGCACAGCGAGGTCTGAAAACTGCTCCTGGGCTCTGCCGCGATTCGCCCACTTTCGAGCTAGCTCCAAAAGCAGGGCCAGCCGTCATCCGTGGGAGCTATGCATCGCAAGGCCCTCCTAGGCGTGTGTGCGGTGTACATGCGCCGAAACTCCAGCTGCTGGATGTTGCCGCTCTGGACTCAAACAAGCTCCGTGAAACCTTGAAAGTCTTAAGTGCAGCAATACTACATCACAAAGCAGCAACCGGCGCCACATTAACTGGGCAGCTATTGCAGAGCTGCGGATCTCTGTCTACGCTGCTTTGGAGATCGCATCCTCGGGTTACGATCACAAGCAGCATTGCATATGCACAGAGCTAACGCTACCAGTAGCGTTCGAGCAAGTTTCGAGGACAGCTGCCTGCTGCGAGGCATCGCAGTTGTGCAGAAAGCCATGACCTGGTGAAGTCTGCCAAGCCCTGCAAACCACAACTGCTGAGGCCCCCCGACCCTGCGTCTTCTTGGAGTGCACCAACGCGCCGTTGACTTTGATCTCGAAATTCCCAGTTACACCGGGATCCTTGATCTCCGAGAAGCTGATCTCCTGCTGACTTTCATCAATGATATTCAATGATGATACGGCTGCACTTTTCCTGTAACCTGACTAGAGTTACAAGCGTGCGAGCAGGACGACCGTCCTTGCCAGGCAGCTTGGCTTGAATCAGAGCAATAGCAGCTTTGCTGTGCTTGCCGTAGCCTCAGCCTCCACAGTACTGGATCTCCTTAGGTTCTGCACAGCTCGCGCTGGCATCCCAACTGAGTTCAGCATGACCTCTTTCTCTCCAAGAATCAACCGCTGCTGGCATGGCTGGAAATGAAGCAAGGGAGGGTGCACCCGCGAATCAGAGCCGAAAACACTGCGGAAAGGCTTTCAGAGATGAAGACGTTTGAGCCAACTGCTGATGTCAAGCTAATGGATCCACTCGAAATTTTGCCGTCGACGCTGCTTCGCATGCATGTCTGCTGGAATCGGTCGTGCCCACCAGTGTTAATCTAACTCCTTTTTCCGTCACGCATCTTCCTTTGCTTGGTCGGTCTTCGGGAGGGGCTCTGCCATGGAGTACCTGCTTGGCCCACGATCAGTCTTTCATTTATTTATAGTGGCTGGAGCAATGCGCTGAGTGAAGTGCCCTGGTGGGAGCTCGAGCTCGCTGTCAACGAAGGCCTCAATGCTCGCTTTTCAAGTATGTCGGTATATGGCTTCTCTGCAGGCAGTGTAAGTCCAAGGCGACGTCATCGGGAACCTCCACCATGGCAGCCTGCGCATTCTGCGAGCAAGCCCTGCCCAAAAGGCCAAGAGCTCTGTCTGCGCACAACTACGCCAGGGCCTGCTCAGCTTCGATGTCAGCCTGCGCCGCAGATCGCTGCGACACCACTTTAGAATTCAGCTGCACGGGTCCTGCTCGGCGCGCAGCTTGTCACGCAGCTCCTTGTCTTGGCGCGCCTGAGCTGGCTCACGCACGCCGCATTCCCGTACCCACCAACTTGACCCGCCAACTCGGAAAAAGGCCCCATGGCCTTGACCATGCCGTTCTTCTTGCGGAAGATTTTTGGGCTTCTTGCACGATGGTTCACGTGAAACCTCGCACGGGGTCCCACACTCAAGCAAGAGTTAAGAGGCCTCTGAACCCCGAGCCCTGGCCTGGTTATGCCCCGGCTGCGCATCTCCTGCGGCATCAGCGCCGGGCGTCGGAAAACTTTGACTCCTCCAGCTCCACATTTGCGGCTATCCAGGCGTTAAGTACGGTTTGGTTGAGCTGAGAAGTACCATGTCCACTCTCGTGATGTGCGAACTCAGGCCTTATGGCACGGCCGCTACCCATAACAGCGAATTTGTAAGATGACAGAAATGATGATGCACCCTGCCTTAGGCTAGGGGGAGGTAAAAATAAAACTTTCATATACGCCCGCCCCTATGAACCCTATATGCGTAAATGAAACGAAGTACCTCCCACCTGATGTTTCAATAATCAGGTCCTTGCGTTTAAAATGAAATATCTTGGCTTCCACCTAACTTATTTCAAGTTGCGAACATGTCACACATGTGTATACTGTATATAAATCTATAAGCTTTATTCTCTTTCCCTTTGTGTCACTGCTATTGACTATTGCCCCTTCCGCAAGGTCCGCGCCTGAGGCCCAGAGGCCCATCTGATGCACGAGCCAATTCCCAGAGCTTAAGAGCGTGCGACGAAAATGGCAAACCCCCACAGGCAGAAGACCTTACCCCACAACACTTCTACGCCTTGGCCGCTGCCGGTCGTACTTTGATTTCGCCCCAAATGCGGCTGATGCTCATGATGCTCGCTTTCATTTTGCCCGAAACCCGGCTGATGCTCGTGATGCGCGCTTCTGGTGGGGGCAGGTTGCTTACGCTCTTAAATTTGTGGGGCCTTACCCACAACACTTCTACGCCTTTGCCGCCGCCGGTCGTACCTGTCCCTATAAACCCTGACCCACGTACTTATTGTCGCATTGTCCCTTGAAAGATGCTGTTGAAAGTCCTGTGGCAAACCGAGTGACACAGGCTGGAACCAATTCCCCCCCCCAGCCTGGCCCTTGTGAAGATCGCCTTGTTGTGGCACGCTAGATGTTTCTGGAGGGGCCCCCCGGGGCTTCTGCGGCATGCAGATCCTTCAATGTGGGAAAGGACCCCCCGAGCATCCCCGAGCCCTTAACCAGCGCTGTGCAACATGAATATCAAACCGAATATCATGTTTAATTACGTACCCCCCCCCCCCCCCCAATCCTTCATTGTTAAGGATGGGGCCATGCCGTAGCCTTCGGAGTCGGAAGTGGCTCAAGAAACTGACAGAAAAAGCAAAGACGTTCCCAACACAAAGAGGATCAGTATAGTCTCACGACAAGCGGGTCAAGCATGGCAGGTGCCCCCACCCAGCGTGGGTCCTTTGGGAACCCAAACGTCAAGGACTTTGGTGCCGTAGCCACTAATGGACACCCAGCCTAGCAGAAGCACGCCAACGCCAACTGAGGCAATCGTTCCAGAGCAGGAACTACAATACCCTCGGACGTCAGCATCCGATTCTAAGGTTCTCGCCCATGCCAGCGATGACCTTCGAAAGTACCCTTTGCCGTGGCTATGACTATGACCGAGACCGAGCAGCCAAGTCCACGGCAATGTCGTCCCAGGCACGGTCACTGCTGCCGAAAACCTCGGCAACATCTGGTACCGCTGAAAATGCAACAAGCCTGGCTTCGTCTCGCCTCCACACGGTGACGCACCAGCGGACCCAGCCGCTCGAAATCGTCACCTGCACAGATCTCCCGTGCCAAGCAAACCAGCATCACGCGGGCATCCTAACAGTCGGCACTCAAAGGCCTTCCGGCACTTGGGACAGCATGTTTTGTCTGACGAGTGGCGACTGTGAGGCGGGTAGAAGAAGTCTCCAGCTTTACGGCTCAGCAGGTCCTGACATGGTCGACCAGCCGATGGCGTCTGCCGGGTGACAACTCGGAAGAAGCTCTCCTCCACTTTACAGGTTTGGCCTTGCTGAGGAGACAGAAGGTCCGTCATCTTCCGTCAACCAACACCGGTCCCGGTCCAGGCCGGCGGCAGACGTGGAGCGTGACGCTCAAGCCAAAGAAGGACGAGAGAAAGCTGATGTTTCCCTGACAGAAACATCATCGCTCTGCCGCTCTGCAGCTCCAGAGAGACATGAGGCCGCAGGTCGCCTGCACCTGGTCGATGCGAACCAGGGCACCGGCCAGGAAGGAGCGACCTGCCCGAGAAGGCCGAAGGCCGACTTCCGACTTCGACACCAATGAGCACGACGGGATGCAAAAGTTTTCGCCTGTGTGCAAAGCGTAAGAAATTGAGTTTATCCGCTTGCGAGGCACCACCTCAAACGGCCAGCGCTCACTTTAAAAACCATTGGGCGTTTGCGGTAACTGCAGGCATGAAGCTGCGTAGAGATCCATGGCCTCCTGAAGCTGTGCGGTGACCTTCAAGCAGGTCGCCCCCCAAGACACGCCCCTCACGGTGTCACGGCCCTTCTTGATCTCAAGTTCCGCCTGGTGACGTGAAGGAATCCCAGGACAGTCGACCAGCCTGAATCCCTGCAGGACGTGCAACACTTTCTCTTTCGATTCTGCGACTCGTCGACACCTTCGCGCCTTCGGCAGGCCAAAAGACACGAAGTGCAGCGTCGTCCCTGGCCTAAGCGCCAGCACTGCTGTTGCTGGGGACTGCAGTATCAAGGATCAAGGCGCGAAAAAGAATGGAGAAACTGTGCACTGGCGTAAACAGCTGAAAAGCACTCTCGAAGACTCTTGGCTGTTAGCTCTCCTCTGGCATCTGCAGAGAAAACACTGAGCTTGCGTCACAGGGGAACGAGTGACACCACCCACTGCTCGCTTGTAGTGGACTGCCCCCTGATGCCTGGGCGGGCTGCTTTGCACCAGTGGATAGAGTCTGCAAATCAGAAGATAAGTCCAGGGCTTGTAGCCGATGTACCACAAAAAGCGGTTCACAAATGTAGACTTGCCCGAATTCACACGGCCCACCACGTACATCCACTTGGGGTCCTGTCAGCGAAGCACTGCCCAGATGTACACAATCCTTGCTTGAGCGCGGCTCCTCTGGCAGGAGGTGGTGCCTCCAGTCCCAGGGCACATGTCGACTGTTGGGAGGGCTACACACAACCTGCAAAGCTACGAAAATGGACCCTAAGCCAATAAAGCAAGCCAGAGACTGCCGAAACCCTGTTTGACAAGCAGACAATTCTTGCCGGAAAGCCCTTGCTGAAGCTGAAGATGAAAGGAGAAATGTTGTTCCTAGTGAGCCGAGGTGACCTCTAGGGGAAGTCACGATCACCGTCCCCGCAGCTGTGCGGCAGGGGAGGCATACACTCAGTCACACGAATCAGGAGGGCCCGAATCAGCAATAGAAGAAGACTCGAGCTTCGCTGAAGCTCTGAATGAAGCTCCTGAAGACTTAAGCTTCAGCGCCTCCTTCGCTCACGCTTCTGAAGACTCGAGCGTCGGAGCTTCAACACTAATCTTCCTGAACCAAACCCCTGGCATCTCTTCAGAAGTCTGATGTTTTCTACAGTCTAACATGGAGGGTTGTTCTTGCTGCACGTTGTCTAGTCAGCCGAGTCCAACCCATGCTCCACTTGTGAGTTCTGTTGCAGCTGCCGCGTTCCCCTCTCATGTGACTGGCGACCTCAGCCCCGATCCGTGCCTCAATCTCTCCTCGAGTTGCTTGAAGCCGTGGCCACTACTGGAGCTGATCAGGACCTCTAGCTGCCACGATCTGCTTCAAGTACCATTCATGCCTTGCATTCTTGAACGGATGCACTGCAGCAACCAAGCGAGCTCACCACATCGTTCGTGTGAACGTTCCGGATCTGTCGCGACATGCGTCGCACCCAGACTTTCAGCCGTGCTAGGCCCTGGCACATGTCAGCTGGGCTCCTACGATCTTACTGCTCCAGACTTAAACCGATTCAATAGCATCGCTCTGCATGGCCTTCTCTTTGTCCCGCATCTTGTCTAGAAGACAATCGACTTTGTTCACGACCACGATCACAGGAAACCTTGTCGTCTAGAAATCTTCTCGCTCGTGCTCTGCAAATTGTGCATAAATCATGGCCACAAAGCCGAACTCAGTCAAAGGCCGACGGTTACGACAAGCATCAAAGAGCTCGGGCACCTCTCCACTGCCGCTCACGCGAAGAGCGACACGTGCAGCGCTTGAAGTCAAGCTGCCGGCCAGTGAACTTTCGAAGTCTAACAGGTCCACAACCATGAGGACCTCAAGAATCGAGATTCAGGACTTTGCAATCACCGTCGTAGCACGAGATCACTGAACTAAGTCACTCACTATGGAGCCTTTGCCTTAAAAGTCATACGAGGCACGCGATGACGCATGGCAGCTAACGAAACCTGACAGGTTCCATATCATCGCAAGTCGCACTTTATTTTTTGCCGCACCTGTCTTCTGCACAAGACTGACACAGCAAAGCCGCGCACTAGGGACAATATCTCGCGTGGCAACGTCCAGATTTTGTCCGATTTGGCCCGAATGCGCCGCAGCGAGCAGCGATTTGGATGAGCTTCAGCTACAACCCCACAGCAGAAATCAGCAGGTACAGACTGCGATTTGCCACCAGCGATCGCAAGGTTGTCGCAGGCCGCAGGGCCGGCCATAACTCCGATTTCGTCCCTTCGTCGCTGCACTGATGACCTGCAGTGCCACCTCTCAGCCTCACAGTCCTCCTGGGTCCTCGGCCTTTGCTGCGGTTTTCCCCTCCAGAACTCCGGACTTCTAAATTGTTGCGTGACTTTGTAGTCGTCTTTTCTCAGACTGATCAGACTCCCGTCAAGCAAGGCACGTTCGGCCAGTCGCGCCGCAGCTCTGCTGCATTCTTGTAGGCCTTCCCTGCCAGGATGGGATACGGCAACAAGTTCTCTGCCTTCTTGCGGGCGATGTTCTCCTTCAGCCGCCGGGCACGGAAAAGGTCCGTGGTAAATCGCAGGTATGCAAAAACCTTAGGAACACCATCTGGGTAGAAGCGCCTGTCGCCCAGAAGCGGGGCACAAACAGGGGTCTCACATCTGGCTGTGTTTGCAGGAAGCTGCAGCCATTCCTCCACTTCCGATATGTCTGGCAGATCAAACTTGCACCACCTCGGCTGGAAACATTGATCCGACACCTTTCCGGAAAACCTCAAAGTCTACTGTGCAAGTCAGAGCATGGCAGCTGACACTTCGTTTTGATACTACCTACGTCACACGACCCAAGCCCAGGTTTCTTGACGAGCGGCTGCTTGTAAGCGCCAGCTTGCCACAGCGCCACGTTCAGCAACTCCTGGGCAAGTGGATGGGTTCGTGGGGCTACTGTTCTGCCTGCTTGTTTCACCACGACGACGACCGCTACTGCCGGGCACCACATCTATCACGTATTACACTTTCTGCTGGCCATCACTATGAAGCCTAGCGACTTGTGCCAGTACTGCTAGTAGCCAGAGCCCTTTCCAATCTCCTTGCATTCGCCCTCACCAAAAAATACAAAAAACAGAATCATTTTGATGACCGCAACTTCTCTCCTCAGCAAGCTTTATTGGATATCATATGCACAGCTGACTTTTATCACGACTTATTGCCCGGGTAGATCGGAGCTCGGTGCTGGCGAGGTGCCTCTGCGCCTGCGGCCTTGCGAAGCCGCAGGGGCTGATATGGCGCTTCGGCAGGGAAGGTCTCATCACGAAAGACGGCTCGCAGCGTGCTGCCAATGAAAGGTAAAGAAAAGCGACTCCAGCTGAGACTGAGCTGGCTCCAGCGCATGGATTGACGTGGACAGGACTGGTTTGCACAGAAATGGGCCCAGAAAGGTTCTTTGTCATCCATCGTTTTGTCCAAGAAGTGCACTGGCATGATGGGCCAGGGGTGGTCTTCAGTAACCTCCGACGCAATGGTGCCGTAGAGCCGGTCGATCCCTGGCAAGATCAGGGAATCATGGCTCAGGAAAATCCCGGTCTCCACTCGGGAAAGCAGTGCCGCCTGAAGGACCGCCGAGCATGCCTTTACAGACGAGGGCAGCTCCTTCACGCTTAGAACCACCAATCGCGGAAACACTCTGGGTGTCCAGTGCATTGGAATGGCAAGACCCACGTGCAGAACGACGATCGGGTAGACGGAAAACTGATGGACAGAATCGATCAATAGCTCCATCAATTGCGCCTGCTGACTGTTTGGCGGACCTTTGAAGTAGCTCACGAAACCTCGCTGCAACCAACCTTCGCGGTACAATCTCTGATAGTTCTGTGCGAATGCGGTGCTGGCGAGCGCACGCACGGCTTGTGTCATCTCTTTGCCGGTTAGCGCACGGCTCCCGGGCTCCTGTGGCTGCGACCACTGCTGATCGCACACTCCCCGAATGCCCTCCCAAAGGAGCTGCCCTGCTGCCGAAGTATCTTGCTCGAAAGATCCGCAGGAGGCAACTGGCTCCACATCGATGTATTTCCGATCGCTTTTGGGCAAGGAGAGAAGATTGATGTATGTGAACATCTGGCTTGCTGTATTTACTTGACACTCACAGTGCTTCTGATCGTCACCCGGCCGCACATCGTTTAACGCAGGAAAGCCCGGCTGCTTACCAACTTGGCATTTAACACGATTGGACTTCGTAACAACTGACCAGGGAACTACTTGCCAAGAACCGGCATTGCCCCATCGAATCTTCCCGTCGCAAGCACATTCTTCCCACTGTGCGGCACAATACAGCCAGATATTCTTTGGCTCGCGGATAGTAACGCCGGGCACAGGGGCAGAGGATACATTTTGGACCTGCGGTACCGAAAGCTGCATCGGCGCGAGATCATGACTGAGTTTGGGCTGCCAATTCGCCGGCAAAGGCCATGCCTTTCTGGAAAGTTCGAAGGCTTGACGGAGCCGTGCCTGCTGCGATTGCACCCAATGCCAATCGTTTATGTCTGTGTGAACGGAACCGGTGTCCAAGATTGACGAAAAAGCTAACGGGATCATGAGCGAAAGTGTCGACAGCGAGGCCAGCAGAAGTATCTTGCACGAGCACTGGCGACAGAGCATCCACGAGCCAACCTGACATGAAGGCGGTGCCGACTGAACTCACACCATCAGCGACCTAGACCCAAGGTCCAATGACACCTGCTCAGTCCTACTTGCCTAGTGGTCTCTAGTGACTCTAGTGACGAGTGGCCGAAGCCAGCCGTCTCTCCTGTCGTAATTTCGCAGGATGTCCTGGGCATCCAGTTAACGATGAAGCCTCCGATGCTGCATGTGCGTGGCTAGAGAATCTGGAACCAAAAGCTGGCCGCACACAACGCTTGATCGAATCATCGGTGAAGAGTTTCTTGGGTATGGGAAGCAGGTGGTGGCAGACTGCCAGTGACCGAGTGGCCTGCGCATTCGACGGACAATCTTCTCCACGATCTCTGCCTGACATGATCCGAGCTGCGCGATCCTTCTCCAGGTTTGTTCATTCCAGCCTCATGCTCCCAATCTCGCCCACCTTCCATGCGGTAGAAGCCACCCTTGACAGACGTGTCCATCCTGCCATCTTCGTCACATCGCTCAGAGTACTCACCCCCCTCATCGTGGGCGGCCTGTGATAGTGCTGCAATCGGTAGCATCGCTGACAGACCAACATGCGTGTCCTGTCCTGTCAATATTCAAGACATCTTTTGTCGGTCGTGTCGACACTCATCGGGCAAAAAACAGCTGGAGTCTGGTCCTTGTACTTCACCGATGTGTCTCGCATCACCTGCACACTGCAGATCCTCAACACTGTTCTGCATACTCGGCACCATTTCTCGACCAAACCTTTGCACACCGACAGCAGAGCAGCCAGCCTCAACCCCTTGCGGGAGCACATCCACAGGCACCCCCTTCGGAGTTGCTCGAACCTTCCTCCGGCCTGGGGTCGTGCAGAACAGTCCAGCAGTGAAGACTGTCACAGGCATTTGAGGCACGAACCCGTGAGTGAAAACTTCTCACGTGCCTCCTCGGGCACCTGCTGCCGAAGCGCGCCCCGGCCCCCACGGGAAAGAATCTATCCGTTGCCAGGTCGCATAGCCGTGCTCTTCGGGGTCCTGAGAGCCGAGAGCTGTGACAGGTCAGCCGCGCTCTGGCTGTCATGGCTGTCAGGCCATGGCGTTTGAATGAAGCCAGGCGCCGCAGCCGTGGCATCTCTTGTGGATGCGCAGGCCGCCTTCACTTTTCTGATTCTGACACAATACCCTGAAGGTGAACGCACCGCACGAAACCTCCTCCACCACGAGACGCTCTGAGAAGCTCCTCCGGGGTGATAACAATCATCAGGTTCAAGTGCACTTGCCACGATGTTCTCCTCCATGCCTGCCTCTTTGGTGACATCGCCTGGGCCAAGTCGTGTATCTGGCCCAAGAAGTTGAAGGCTCGCCGACGAGGCCGAAGCCCACCACCGCCCCGGCGGGCACCTTGACCTCGACGTCCTGGCAGATCTAAACCTAAGGCCCCTAAGGGAAAAGCCACTCGGTCACCTGGCTCTTCTCGTCGCTTTGAGAGGGCCAGGCCCTGAACGCCAGGAAAACGCATCTTTCCGTGGTCTTCCTTTTTCAGCAGACAGGCACAGTACCTCGAGGATGATGCTGACCGTGTCGCGCTCACCATGCCAACGCCTGGAGGAGATCTTCTCCACACTCCGGCTTCGCTGGAACGTAGGGTTTCGGGGAGCCCGCTGCCATGGTTGTCGGGCCAGCATGTCCGAAAAAATCCTAAGCTCGGCTTTTGCAGCCAAAGACTTGTTGAAGCTCGCAAGAGATTCTGCACGCAAGGGACCTCCGCGACAGCTTTCGCCAGCTAGCCTGCAAGCATGCCAAGCAAGTCGATTAGATCCTTCTGTCCTGTGCTTGTCAGATGCGCTAAGCAGCCTCGGGATAGAAAGGCGCTGCGCGGCAACCTCGGCTTCAAGAGGATGAGGACCGTGGTTGACAGCTGTTGGGAAAGCATCCACGTAAAACCGTTGACACCCGGTAGATTGTAATGCCAGAAAGCACACTTATCCAACCTCAAGGCCTCTCGAGACAAGTAGCTGCCGCCATCTGGATACTGAGGTGAGATCGGCAGAACACCATTGCTCAGCACACGGCAGGATGTCTTTGCATCTCTGGTCCATTTTCATTAGTAACCGCCAAAACAAACAGGCCACAGACCTGTTCTACAGGTAGATGTTCGGAAGCATGTGCTGTTGCTCGGAACACTATATGCTGCGACACCATACCGAACCACTACCATTAACACTAAAGTCTACGTGTAGTGTTCGCTCGTGTTGACTGTTGACCACTACTCGGCTCGAGCCGGAAATTGCAGCTCAAGCAGGAACAGGTTCTCGTTTTGGCCACCTTCAGTTTAGGCTTTGAGTTTAGTCTGATGGCGAAGGCTGTGCCTTCAATCAAGAAGCAAGACATAGCAAGACTTCATCATTGCAGGGCTTGAAGGCTTGAGGCTTGGGCTTGGGGTTTCAACTGTGCGAGAAGCACTTGCATGATTTTGGCTGAATCAGCATGGCAGTCGCTCCAAAGGCAGGTGACAGAGCTGTTCTAGGCAAACTGGATGGACAAGCAAACTCTCGCGCCTGGCAAACTAAGCTTCCGAATTCTAACAGCTCTGCACCTTGTGCCCTCGCTGTACAGCCGGGCCGGCCTCATGGATCTTCTCCGACCTCCATGCGCACCTCTGCCCGATACGTACAGAGCCGGAGATTTTGCCACTGTGCACAAACATCGGCTGCGAGCCTTCAGGTGCGGCGTCAGGAGGTCTTCGTCGTAGAGCTGGAAAGCAACAACTCTCATAGAGGATCATAGAGGCATGCACACATGCACACGGACAGGCAGAGGGAGAAGGAGAGCGAAAGGGTGTGGTGCTCACGAAACGAACAAGTACATCGGGTCAACCCTGAAGCTAAAGGCGAGGGAAGAAACGCGCACGCTCTTGGGGCTGCAAGACGTTCGCAGCTACTTCGCTCCACGTACGTTGGGAAGACTGGACAAGCTAATTGAGCCGTCGACTTTCCGAAGTGCAAGTCTTACATGGGGCTCTGTGTCTCGCTCTCTCGATCGCTGGCTCGCTGGGTTGGTTGACTGACTGACTGATTCATCGATTGATTCGACTGCTCGGGGTGTAGGGTCAAGCGCTCACCCTGAACGGCGCATCAGTGTCTGTTCTTCTGTGGGGCTTGGAGTGTGCCTTACGGCGCTCCAGGCTGATAGCGCGGCCGGTTTTGGGGCTGCAAAGGGCTGTGTCTTCTCACGGACAGGCGCAAGCGGCTGAAGGAGTGGCTGGCCTTCTGCACCAGAAGTGGTAGGAGGTGGCGCGCCCCACCGGACTCCGCCTCCCAGGTCGAAGCATTGTGAAGGCATCGCTTCCGCCGTGCTTGATGCTTGGACCGATTGGATTCCTCGAGGAGCAGCATCTCGCGCACTGGCTCGAGGTCGTTGGGATCGGAAGCCGACACCTTTGCATGCTCATTTCTCTCTCATTGCTTGTAGAGCTTGTACATCCCCGCCTTGAAGGCGAAGGCCACTGAATTTCGATCTGCAAGCGACAGGGCTTTGCCGGCTGTGACCACTTAGGCAACGCCTGCCCTGCCTTCCAGCACAGCTGGCGCAAGGTCGAAGATGCTGATTGGGCGCAGCGAGGTGCACACAAGCTCAACATCCTTCACCTGCACCTCCACATCGTCTTAAACAGAAGCAGTCGCTTGGTTTAGTCCAAGTTCTGAAGCTCTCGCAGCCGACACCTCGCTCAGGACTTGCAACAAGATTTCCCGTAGAATCTCCTGCAACGGCACCAAGCAGAAGCAACACGGAGTGTGTCGGATCCCGGATCCCCGAGCAGATGTAGCCGAGCAAACACCAAAACCAGCAGCATGAACGCAGAAGCGAGCTCCCTGACGGCTGCGCTTGACTCGTCGTGACTTCCAGACTGGAAAATAACAATGATCATAGTAATAACGGTGAGCATAACAATAACAATGGCACTGATGTAGCAAAGAAAAGTTCTTATTATTATAGTAACCCAAGTCACGGGCTGTGGGTGCACGGCGCTTTTCTCTCGGCTCGGACAGGCGAGGACTCGCCTTAAAGAAGGGCCCCCTACTCGTCTCCAAAGCGCAGCTCTAGTGGCCGCTGTTTCAGGAGATCTCCGATTTGCTTCTCGGTCATCATGGCCATGTCAAGGCCTGAAGGGCTGGGTCTCTGAGAGGCTTCTCTCGGCCCCGATTCTAGACGTAAGTGTTGCCACTACTCTTACGGCAACTTGGACTGGTAACTGGTAGTGTTGACAGCTCCGTGGTAACTGTTATTACCGCCACGGCGAACATCACCAGCATTTCCACGATGGAAAACTGGCATTACTATTGCTCTGAATTCTTCCAATGCCACTTTTGGTCCCTGTCTCTTCGGGAATTTCAGATCATAATGGTTTCTTCCAAACAGAAACAAACAATAGTAGGACCCTGAGTAACCAACTCCCATTTCCATGACCTGGGAGCCTGGCCGTTGACACGCAGCAAGCAGTCACCAACCTTGCAGGATGGACTACCCATAGGCTGTACGGGACTGAGTGGGTTTGGGGCTTCCTTCGACGACCTTCCAGGTTCATAGTGACGATGACCATCTTCATCACCATCGAAAACCATGCTGCGGTCGATAATGGCGTTCGTGATGACATGATGATGATGATGGTGATGATGATGATGATGATGATCATGATGATGATGGTGGTGATGGTGATAGTGATGGTGATGATGATGATGATTGTGGTGATGAAAATTGTGATGGTGATGATGATTGTGATGATGATTGTAATGATGATGGTGATGATGACGATGATGGTGATGATGATGATGATTGTGATCATGACGATGATGATGATGGTGATGATGGTGATGATGATTGTGATGGTGATGATGATGATGATGATGATGATTATGATGATGATGATGATGATGATGATGATGATGGTGAGGATGGTATGAGGATTAGGACGAGGACGAGGACGAGGACGACGATGACATTGACAATGACGACGACCATGATGACGACGGTGATGATGAAGGTGATAATGATGGTCTTGATGATGACTGTGATGATGACGATGATGATGATGATGATGGTGATGGTGATGATGCTTGTGATGATGATTGTGATGATGATGATGATGATGATGGTGGTGGTTATGATGACGATGATGATGACCATGACGATAACAATGACAATGACGATGATGCTGATGACGACGATGATG